ACTTCCACCGGCTGTACCTCCACCAGCACAATGATGATACAATTGATTTAATAGATTTTGTAATATTTTGAATTTTCATATTGTTCTATAGGATTCGAACTTAACCTACACAAACAATTGTCAATTCATCCATCCTCCATCGATCCAAGGCCTTTCAAATCAACTTTTTTTTTCTTTAAATGTAATTGGAATTGGCCCAAGTTGAAATGGTTTCAAACTTCAAAAATTGTTGAAACTCAACAAAATGCCTCATTGTGCCCATAAAAAAATTTGGACAACTTACAAAAATACCCTTAAAATTAAGGGTACTTTAAAAAATCATATGAAACATATTTCGAAAGTAAAAAATAGCATGTAAAATTAATTGTCACTTTTTTAATAGAAAAGTACAATAAAAAAGTGACACTGAAAAAGAGACTCACTGTCACTTTTTAAAGTTAAGTGTCATTTTTTTTTATTAAAAATGACATATAATGTCACTTTTATTAAAAAAAAATGATGTTTGTCACTCAAAAAAGTGATAAAATTTTCAAAGAATTGACAAAAAAAAAAGTAATAAACATTAAAAAAAGTGATAAAAATTTGATAAAAATTTAATAAAAAGTGACGAATGCTAAAATTTTTACTGTGCAATTCACCCCTACTGGCTTATGAAACTGGATAACTTGAATAGATTGTAAATCAAGTTGACAAATTGCACTCGTCAACCAATTTGAACGTCTATGCTCCTGAGTACTCGTATAGTTTCTAGTTGAAATTGAAAGCCGTAGCAAGGCAGTGGCACAGCCCCTCTAGCTTTACGTGGCCCAATATTAGAAAAACTAGAGGTCACCGACTCACAGATTGGGGCAAACCCACCTGAGGCCCTATGCTTGGGTTTTGGAAAAGAAGAAAAAATTGATGTATCCAATTTTCAAGTGTAATACACTAGGAAAAAAAAATAAGAACTTACAAAGAAAAGAGAAAACCAGATTAAGGAAGGCTACCGATTTTTTGGGTAGTCATCTATCTTCCCTTTTCTGCTCATAGC